AATAAATTTAATATATATATATATATATATATATATATATATATATATATATATATATATATATATATATCATGACTAACATTCCATACAATAATAATATATATGCTCCTGCATCCACACTAAATAAATATATATTTTAAACATGATTTAATTAACTAACTTAATCAATACTTCTGCAGCATTATAATCAAAACAGCAAAACTCCCTGTATCAATTTCTTTTTAACCCAAACAACAAATAATTTTAGTGTAGATTTCTAGTGAAACAGAATAAAGACAGTAGAAATTTTCTGGCAAAATAGAATAAAACAACGACATTTTACTTTTTTTGTTTTTGGCAGAATCATTATAAAACAACAAACAGTTCACTAAAACTTTCTTTCTCTTATTTCAGTCTAAAACAAAATAAAAAGTAGGTTTATCTTCATTACCCAAGTGTATGCCATTCATGTATCAGTATTTAATATTCATGCACTTTAAAAAGTCACCTATTTATGTACATTTAATAAAGTTTCTTCCTTCCTAAAATAACATCTTCCTTTTATATTCAACTTTATTCATATATTAACTCAACCAAGTCACACTCCATCCAAAACTTACTATACATCAACATTACTCTACTTTCCACAAGATTTTATTCCAGAAGCATACATCAAACTAACATATGTCTACATATTATCTTTCTAATTTCAAGTATATTTGAATCCACAACCAATATATATATATATATATATATATATATATATAAATGATACTAAGAAATTTCTAACTACACATTAGTCATTAAAAGGACATACAACACTGAATAGTTTATTAATATTTGATTCTAAAACAGCAAGGTCATATTCGTAATTTGCATTCAATCTACATTAAAATCAATTAGCATAATTTGACAGAATAGGAAACACTCATACACTTTTATTTTGCATATATCATCACAAGAAGGATTGTAGAAAGATTGACCAATATGTTCATAGTTAACAATCCATTATAAAATTAGACAGATTAATCTATACATCATAAACTAACCACCAGAAATCAATCCTAAATTGATTCATATAAGTAATCGAAAACCCTATTTTACCTTTCTTTTTCATATAACATAAAAGAGTATATGTATCAAAATTTCCAGAATCCATAGGCACCATTACAATCACATAGCAACACGATACAAAAATCAAAAGCAATTTAGCTCTCCATACAATTCAAAAATATAGGTAGCCTCTACCTACGAAGTTCACTAATAAGGACCTATAAAACAGTATTGAAGGAAAGATATGCAGTCATCGAGACTATTGAAAAAAATCAACTCTCAAGTTCATTCATGCGTCCCTTCAAACACTTGGCAGGTGCAGGAAAATTAACACCAGTCGTTCGAAAGACAATAATCAATTTCAAAAGCTCTAGAAATCTATCTTACAGCAACTGCCGAGACCAATAATTGCTATTAAACATTAAAACAAAAACAACAAAGGTACGATTAATTAAGGAAGCAAGTCATAGTTAAAAGGAAGAAAAGACTTCTTATAAAGGTACGAGCGACGACACTAAGGCGACACTGGGTGGTTGGGAGGACGAAAGACAACACCGTCTAGGTTTTGCCTTCGAACGTCGGCACTGCGGCGGTAGGGTGGCTGGGAGGAGGGAAGACGACACCGTCTAGGTTTTGCCTTCGAACGCCAGCACTGCGGCGACAATGGGTGGCTGGGTGGAGGGAAGACGACACCATCTAGGTTTTGCCTTCGAACGCCAGCATTACGGCGATAATGGGTGATTGGGTAGAGGGAAGACAACACCGTCTAGGTACAACGGCACTATCTAGGTTTTGCCTTCGAACGCCAGCATTACGGCAACAATGGGTGATTGGGTGAAGGGAAGACAACACCGTCTAGGTACAACGGCACTCTAGCGGCAGTGGTGGCTGGGTGGAAGGAAGACGACTTTCTCTCTCTAGTTTTCGTGCTCGAGCTTGTCTCTCAAATGCTCCTGAGATTGCAAATCTGAAAATGACAAAATGAAGCTGAATTTTGAAACCTGTCCCCCTTTCTCATTGCCACGTCATTCTCATATTAAAAATTCATTTTTCACGTGCACCACTGAAATTTGGACATGTGTCCCGTGTCTAAATGTTGTCAAAAGTTGTTGTTGAAATATCATTTTCCAATTATAATACGTCAACATAATAACAAATAAATAATGACCAGTGAAAAAATGACATGTTTGCTGTGTTAAAATGTTGTAAAAAAATTTGTCAAAATATCTTTTTCTTATATTGGTAATTATATGCTAATGCATATTTTTTGACGATATTTTGACACAAACACATGTGTCATTTTCTCGTTGGGTTCAGAGTTTGTCGACACTATAACAGATTAATAATGAACCAGTGAAAAATGACATAGGTGTTGTGTCAAAATGTCGTCAAAATATTTGTCAAAATATTTTTTTTATACTTAATTGAAAAAAAAATGGTATTGTTTCTGTTGAGACAAGGTAAGTTTTCCATATTTGTGACTGAGAACCGAGATGGTCGTTGCAAAACTTCTTTTGAGCTATGTAATCATCTCAATGAACACAAGTTGTCATATTTATAAAAAAATACAAAACAATGAACACAAAAATTTTAACTAGACACGTGGAAAACTCTCAATAACTCATCCAGAGACCAAAAACATCTTTTTTAGCTATTCATAGAAATTTAACATCAAAAAATAATCTTTGACAAAAATTAATTAATTAATTAATTATTCTAGTGGCTAATTTAAATACTGATATAAAAACAAAATATTATTAGTAACTAAAATAAACTTTAAATTAGAGCTGTGAAAATGGGTAACTCGGCTCGATCCGGCCCGACTCACCACGTGTTGGTCACTTAGTAAGGCAACCCAACCCGACTCACTCATTAGCAAGCTGAAAAAATTTGAACCCGGCCCGACCCACTACTAGTTGGTGGGTTAAACGGATTGGTTCACTGACTCACTTAATTATAAGTTTGTTTTAAAATAAAAAAATTACAATTTTTTAATTAAAATCTAAATAAACGTCCACTAAAATGATGTTAAAATTCAAAGACAATTAAAAAAAAATATCATACAATCCAAGCGTAATCCAAAAACATGTACAAAAGCGAACAAATAAATTTTTAATATTGATAATTTTTGTATCACTTGTCCATTTATAATATTACAGTCTTCAATAGATAAATCTATAATATTTTTTTCTCTTGAAACATCTTCTTTATCACCATCTACAATATAATAAAAAAATATTAACTAATAATATTGAAACACACAATAATAAATAATAAAATTAAATTAAGTGGGTTGGTGAGCCAACCAGGCTCATCACGGGTTTACCCGGTGAGCCGGGTTAAAAATTTGTCCGCATAAAAAAATTACATTTTTTTCAAACCCAACCCGGTTCAAACCTGTGGTGAGCTGAGTTGGTCTGCGGGTTACAACCCATTTTGACAGCACTACTTTAAATGAGTTAATATAATGAATTAGTTTTTAAATTGGTCAATATAATGAATTTGTTTCTAAATTGATCATTAATATTAAGGTTAAACCCTTTCGCAAGTCTCTATTTAGATGGAGTTTTTCCACTTCGATTCCCATTTTATTGGTTTTGCCAATTTAGTTCTTAAAAATGAAAAATTGACTCAATTGGATCCTTCCGTTAAATTGGCTTAACAAGATTAAGTTTCTGATGAGCTGAAATGTTGATGTGGTCAGTTGGACTGAAATGTTGATGTGGTGAGTTTTTATCACATTACTCCTATCACATTAGCATCATCTTCCCCGAAACCCTAATTTCCCTCTAGGGTGACACCCTAGACATCCCATGGGCTAGCTGTTAAAATTTTAAGTCGTTGAAAATATAATTTTGTGAAAGTTTTAATGGTTCTGTATGTAGCCTAATGCAAGTTAGAATTAATAATTTCGAAAATATTAATTTACTCTTTCTTATTTTGTATGATTCTGTTACAGCGATTGTGCAATTGCAATGGAGCTCTCAGAAGAATGGAAATCATTCTTCCCAGTGGGTTCCTCTACAGTAGCTCCTCTTCTTCTCTCCGGTTCCCCTTCTCTCCCTTTGGGTCCTCTTCTCTTCAACCCTAACCCTAATTCGCTCTCCCTTATCTTCTCTTCCACCTCTCTGCAACCCTCTCTTCACTACTCTCCATACCTCTTACCTTCACGATTCCTTCTCTCTTCCCACCCTTCTTCCATTCTCCCATCCACCGCTTCCTCCATCACCTCCCTCTTCTCCATCCAACAAAACGATGCCTCTTCCCCCTTCCTCCGCAACCGCCTCCACCTCCTCACCTACCCCCATCGGCCTTATGCCCTCATTTTATTTCCCACCGGCGACAACGACCACAAGCTCGCATTTTTCACGCTCCGCTTCGAGGACTCTCGCTTCCATACTCAGCTCGACACTAATGGCGACGTTTTTTATGCGTCTACTGGCTCCTCGCACCGTATCTTGAACATTTCTGTCAACCCTGTTACTGATTATGACGAGGTTGACGGAGTTATCGGGTATTTTTTGGCTACTACTCTGTATTCTGTTCATTGGTTCGCTGCGAGGCACAATCAAATTTTGGATAGACCTAGTGTAGTCTGTTTGGGTGATAAGATGTTTAAGACTTGCCCTGTGGCGCATGCTTGTTGGAGTCCTCATATATTGGAGGAGAGCTTGGTTTTGTTGGAGAGTGGCCATTTGTTTTTGTTTGATTTGGAGTGTTTTGGCTTCGGTGCTGGTTTCAAGGGGACTAGGTTGAAGGTGCCTTGGAATGATTCTTCAAAGAGTAAGGTGTGGCTGAGTTGTGAGTTTAGTTGGCACCCCAGGATTTTGGTTGTTGCGCATTCGGATGCTGTTTTCTTGGTTGATTTGAGGCTGAAAGAGTGTAGTGTGAATTGTTTGATGAAGATCGAGACGCTGCGAATGNAATAAATTTAATATATATATATATATATATATATATATATATATATATATATATATATATATATATATATCATGACTAACATTCCATACAATAATAATATATATGCTCCTGCATCCACACTAAATAAATATATATTTTAAACATGATTTAATTAACTAACTTAATCAATACTTCTGCAGCATTATAATCAAAACAGCAAAACTCCCTGTATCAATTTCTTTTTAACCCAAACAACAAATAATTTTAGTGTAGATTTCTAGTGAAACAGAATAAAGACAGTAGAAATTTTCTGGCAAAATAGAATAAAACAACGACATTTTACTTTTTTTGTTTTTGGCAGAATCATTATAAAACAACAAACAGTTCACTAAAACTTTCTTTCTCTTATTTCAGTCTAAAACAAAATAAAAAGTAGGTTTATCTTCATTACCCAAGTGTATGCCATTCATGTATCAGTATTTAATATTCATGCACTTTAAAAAGTCACCTATTTATGTACATTTAATAAAGTTTCTTCCTTCCTAAAATAACATCTTCCTTTTATATTCAACTTTATTCATATATTAACTCAACCAAGTCACACTCCATCCAAAACTTACTATACATCAACATTACTCTACTTTCCACAAGATTTTATTCCAGAAGCATACATCAAACTAACATATGTCTACATATTATCTTTCTAATTTCAAGTATATTTGAATCCACAACCAATATATATATATATATATATATATATATATATAAATGATACTAAGAAATTTCTAACTACACATTAGTCATTAAAAGGACATACAACACTGAATAGTTTATTAATATTTGATTCTAAAACAGCAAGGTCATATTCGTAATTTGCATTCAATCTACATTAAAATCAATTAGCATAATTTGACAGAATAGGAAACACTCATACACTTTTATTTTGCATATATCATCACAAGAAGGATTGTAGAAAGATTGACCAATATGTTCATAGTTAACAATCCATTATAAAATTAGACAGATTAATCTATACATCATAAACTAACCACCAGAAATCAATCCTAAATTGATTCATATAAGTAATCGAAAACCCTATTTTACCTTTCTTTTTCATATAACATAAAAGAGTATATGTATCAAAATTTCCAGAATCCATAGGCACCATTACAATCACATAGCAACACGATACAAAAATCAAAAGCAATTTAGCTCTCCATACAATTCAAAAATATAGGTAGCCTCTACCTACGAAGTTCACTAATAAGGACCTATAAAACAGTATTGAAGGAAAGATATGCAGTCATCGAGACTATTGAAAAAAATCAACTCTCAAGTTCATTCATGCGTCCCTTCAAACACTTGGCAGGTGCAGGAAAATTAACACCAGTCGTTCGAAAGACAATAATCAATTTCAAAAGCTCTAGAAATCTATCTTACAGCAACTGCCGAGACCAATAATTGCTATTAAACATTAAAACAAAAACAACAAAGGTACGATTAATTAAGGAAGCAAGTCATAGTTAAAAGGAAGAAAAGACTTCTTATAAAGGTACGAGCGACGACACTAAGGCGACACTGGGTGGTTGGGAGGACGAAAGACAACACCGTCTAGGTTTTGCCTTCGAACGTCGGCACTGCGGCGGTAGGGTGGCTGGGAGGAGGGAAGACGACACCGTCTAGGTTTTGCCTTCGAACGCCAGCACTGCGGCGACAATGGGTGGCTGGGTGGAGGGAAGACGACACCATCTAGGTTTTGCCTTCGAACGCCAGCATTACGGCGACAATGGGTGATTGGGTAGAGGGAAGACAACACCGTCTAGGTACAACGGCACTATCTAGGTTTTGCCTTCGAACGCCAGCATTACGGCAACAATGGGTGATTGGGTGAAGGGAAGACAACACCGTCTAGGTACAACGGCACTCTAGCGGCAGTGGTGGCTGGGTGGAAGGAAGACGACTTTCTCTCTCTAGTTTTCGTGCTCGAGCTTGTCTCTCAAATGCTCCTGAGATTGCAAATCTGAAAATGACAAAATGAAGCTGAATTTTGAAACCTGTCCCCCTTTCTCATTGCCACGTCATTCTCATATTAAAAATTCATTTTTCACGTGCACCACTGAAATTTGGACATGTGTCCCGTGTCTAAATGTTGTCAAAAGTTGTTGTTGAAATATCATTTTCCAATTATAATACGTCAACATAATAACAAATAAATAATGACCAGTGAAAAAATGACATGTTTGCTGTGTTAAAATGTTGTAAAAAAATTTGTCAAAATATCTTTTTCTTATATTGGTAATTATATGCTAATGCATATTTTTTGACGATATTTTGACACAAACACATGTGTCATTTTCTCGTTGGGTTCAGAGTTTGTCGACACTATAACAGATTAATAATGAACCAGTGAAAAATGACATAGGTGTTGTGTCAAAATGTCGTCAAAATATTTGTCAAAATATTTTTTTTATACTTAATTGAAAAAAAAATGGTATTGTTTCTGTTGAGACAAGGTAAGTTTTCCATATTTGTGACTGAGAACCGAGATGGTCGTTGCAAAACTTCTTTTGAGCTATGTAATCATCTCAATGAACACAAGTTGTCATATTTATAAAAAAATACAAAACAATGAACACAAAAATTTTAACTAGACACGTGGAAAACTCTCAATAACTCATCCAGAGACCAAAAACATCTTTTTTAGCTATTCATAGAAATTTAACATCAAAAAATAATCTTTGACAAAAATTAATTAATTAATTAATTATTCTAGTGGCTAATTTAAATACTGATATAAAAACAAAATATTATTAGTAACTAAAATAAACTTTAAATTAGAGCTGTGAAAATGGGTAACTCGGCTCGATCCGGCCCGACTCACCACGTGTTGGTCACTTAGTAAGGCAACCCAACCCGACTCACTCATTAGCAAGCTGAAAAAATTTGAACCCGGCCCGACCCACTACTAGTTGGTGGGTTAAACGGATTGGTTCACTGACTCACTTAATTATAAGTTTGTTTTAAAATAAAAAAATTACAATTTTTTAATTAAAATCTAAATAAACGTCCACTAAAATGATGTTAAAATTCAAAGACAATTAAAAAAAAATATCATACAATCCAAGCGTAATCCAAAAACATGTACAAAAGCGAACAAATAAATTTTTAATATTGATAATTTTTGTATCACTTGTCCATTTATAATATTACAGTCTTCAATAGATAAATCTATAATATTTTTTTCTCTTGAAACATCTTCTTTATCACCATCTACAATATAATAAAAAAATATTAACTAATAATATTGAAACACACAATAATAAATAATAAAATTAAATTAAGTGGGTTGGTGAGCCAACCAGGCTCATCACGGGTTTACCCGGTGAGCCGGGTTAAAAATTTGTCCGCATAAAAAAATTACATTTTTTTCAAACCCAACCCGGTTCAAACCTGTGGTGAGCTGAGTTGGTCTGCGGGTTACAACCCATTTTGACAGCACTACTTTAAATGAGTTAATATAATGAATTAGTTTTTAAATTGGTCAATATAATGAATTTGTTTCTAAATTGATCATTAATATTAAGGTTAAACCCTTTCGCAAGTCTCTATTTAGATGGAGTTTTTCCACTTCGATTCCCATTTTATTGGTTTTGCCAATTTAGTTCTTAAAAATGAAAAATTGACTCAATTGGATCCTACCGTTAAATTGGCTTAACAAGATTAAGTTTCTGATGAGCTGAAACGTTGATGTGGTCAGTTGGACTGAAATGTTGATGTGGTGAGTTTTTATCACATTACTCCTATCACATTAGCATCATCTTCCCCGAAACCCTAATTTCCCTCTAGGGTGACACCCTAGACATCCCATGGGCTAGCTGGTAAAATTTTAAGTCGTTGAAAATATAATTTTGTGAAAGTTTTAATGGTTCTGTATGTAGCCTAATGCAAGTTAGAATTAATAATTTCGAAAATATTAATTTACTCTTTCTTATTTTGTATGATTCTGTTACAGCGATTGTGCAATTGCAATGGAGCTCTCAGAAGAATGGAAATCATTCTTCCCAGTGGGTTCCTCTACAGTAGCTCCTCTTCTTCTCTCCGGTTCCCCTTCTCTCCCTTTGGGTCCTCTTCTCTTCAACCCTAACCCTAATTCGCTCTCCCTTATCTTCTCTTCCACCTCTCTGCAACCCTCTCTTCACTACTCTCCATACCTCTTACCTTCACGATTCCTTCTCTCTTCCCACCCTTCTTCCATTCTCCCATCCACCGCTTCCTCCATCACCTCCCTCTTCTCCATCCAACAAAACGATGCCTCTTCCCCCTTCCTCCGCAACCGCCTCCACCTCCTCACCTACCCCCATCGGCCTTATGCCCTCATTTTATTTCCCACCGGCGACAACGACCACAAGCTCGCATTTTTCACGCTCCGCTTCGAGGACTCTCGCTTCCATACTCAGCTCGACACTAATGGCGACGTTTTTTATGCGTCTACTGGCTCCTCGCACCGTATCTTGAACATTTCTGTCAACCCTGTTACTGATTATGACGAGGTTGACGGAGTTATCGGGTATTTTTTGGCTACTACTCTGTATTCTGTTCATTGGTTCGCTGCGAGGCACAATCAAATTTTGGATAGACCTAGTGTAGTCTGTTTGGGTGATAAGATGTTTAAGACTTGCCCTGTGGCGCATGCTTGTTGGAGTCCTCATATATTGGAGGAGAGCTTGGTTTTGTTGGAGAGTGGCCATTTGTTTTTGTTTGATTTGGAGTGTTTTGGCTTCGGTGCTGGTTTCAAGGGGTCTAGGTTGAAGGTGCCTTGGAATGATTCTTCATAGTGTAATGTGTGGCTGAGTTGTGATTTTAGTTGGCACCCCAGGATTTTGGTTGTTGCGCTTTCGGATGCTGTTTTCTTGGTTGATTTGAGGCTGAAAGAGTGTAGTGTGAATTGTTTGATGAAGATCGAGACGCTGCGAATGTATGCTCCGGATGAGAATGAGCGGTTTCTTGCTTTGTCAAGGGCTGCTCCGGACAATTTTTACTTTGCTGTGGCTTCTACTAGTGTTTTGCTTCTATGTGATGTGAGGAAGCCTTTGGTGCCGGTTTTGCAATGGGTGCATGGGATTGAAGGGCCTAGCTTTATGTCTGTATTAAGGTTGTCTGATTTGAGATCCCACTCGAAGGAGGATGATTTTAAGGTGGCTTCTGAATCTGGGTTTTGTATTATGTTGGGATCCATTTGGAATTGTGAGTTCAATATCTTCTGCTATGGGTCTATATTACCATTTCGCAAAGGATCTGTTACTTCAAAGATTAACCCAGCCATTTGTGCTTGGGAGCTTCCACTTGAGATTAATTTGTCTGGTCATGAGTGTCACTGTGGAAGTTGTCTCTTAAGGAAAGAGTTCTCGAAGGATGCGCTTCCTGAGTGGACTGATTGGCAGCAAAAGAAAGAGATAGTTTTGGGATTTGGCATTTTAAGCAATAAACTTGCTGCATTACTCACTGAACCTGATGAAAATGGGGGTTTTACACTGATAAGACTTACTTCATCGGGAAAGTTTGAATTGCAGAGATATCATGCCTCTTGGGCTCCGGCCAGAAACTTAGAAGCTTGCCCCGATCAAGTATTGTGTTTGAATAGACACTTACTATATTCCATGAGTGATGAGGATTACAAATTTCCAAAAAATTATAACTACTTAAAATTGGATTACCTTTACTCATATGCATGTGGTGGACTCACTCGATTCTTGGTTAGAAAACTAAAAAGAAACTTTAAGGATGCTCATGACAAAGAACTTAGCGCAGAAGTGCATGAGTTATTGTGTGAGAAATTAAATGCCTGTGGATTTGGTCAATTAAGATCCTGTCCTGAAGTTACTTCTGTTTTTAATGATGTCAAGCTACCAGCAAGCTTACATGAGGTTGCTTGGAGAAGAATGTGGGGTGACTTACCTATGGAACTGTTGCAGTTGGCGTTTTTGAGTCGTGCTGAATGCCATAAAGTTGTTGGAAACCTGGATCACAATAGGGTGGCATTGGAATCTTTAGCTGTTCCCGAACTTCCTCAATTGCCTCCATTCTTTTTAAGGAAATCATCACCGCACGACAATAATGATATTGTGGGTCCAGTTATTCCTTTTCCTGTTCTTCTTGTGCTTAATAAATATCGCAATGGGTGCTCAAACTTTGAAGAAGGTGAATTTTCAGTTGAAACAGAGCTTAGCCTCAAATACAAAGAAGTTATGCAGGTGGCTAGCGAGATTGCTGTCTCAGCTTATGGGCCTACACATCTTGATGATCATGCAGTCTCCCTTGCTGAGGATAGAGACGAAACCTGGGTTGGATATTCGAAACCAAAGTCTTTTTTGTTATACCGTCTAGTTTCATTCAACTCGTCTGCAGCCGACCATGTAGGTGAAAAGTCTGTTTATGGTGACGCAAATTATGATACATTAATTTCTCATATCCCAGAGAAGAAGTCCACTGAGCAGACTGAATCTGTTGGCCAAGAGATATTTGATGATCTTTCCCCTGTTGAATTGAGATTTGATGCTCCTGCGAAGAAGCTCGAACCTCAAGGTTTAAAGGCATATGATCTATTGAAGAGACAGATGTCTAAATGGCAACAAAGTTTTGATTCGTATAAGGAATTTTGTAGTCAATCTAGATTTGAAAAAAAATAGTTAACGGGTGATCCCTCCTTTGTTCATCGTCTTCCCCTTAAAATGTGGTTATCTTAGAAGCAAATGGATCCCCTCCTCTTCCTATATGTTGCTTTTGGTTGATTCTTGGAGACAGGTATGGTTGGTGTAATTTTATGTAAGTAATTGACAATTAAAGATGGTAGAACTGAAGAAGCTACTCCTGGTGAAAAGAGGATGTTGTCAATTTGAAGAGGAAGTAGGCAGCTAGTTCTCAAAAACTGTAATCTATTTGGCCGATTTTATACTGCTTCCTCCCATCATTCTTAGTCTGTATAGGGGAAGATAATCTCTTCTTTTGTGGCTGGTTTACTTAGTGAACCTAAAAGGAGTTTATCCTCTGCTTCCCTTCCCCTCAAGATGATTCAGGAATTGACAGAAGTACAGTCTATCAATTATTTATTGCTCATACAAGAATGATATTCTATCGAAGCAACATCGGTATAGATTTAAATCCTGTCTGTGTGAATCTGATATCCACTCTTTGTGATACAAGGCTCATTAAAACAAGAAAGCAACGAGGTACCCATCTTTCAAGATAACATCAAATCCTTTTCTAAAAGGTGTAATAAGGGAGAAAGAAATAGGCAATATCCAGTGCTTTATGCATCTAAACACCTTTTCAGGACGTGGATACAGAGATCTTCCCCAATGTCTATGTAGTCTTTCCATGAGTCCTTGCTGATTATGAGAGTGGAAATCTTGTTTTGTCCAATCCAAAAGCAATTCACAGGCTTGATAAACCAGTGCACTGCCAGACTCCTGAGGGTGAAGATCAGTTTAGAAAATGGTTGGTCTCTTTCAGTTCTGTATCGTTTTGTTTTATGTTGCAATTTTTCTTTCATTATATATGATGTGTTGTTTGCTATCATGCATTACTTGGGATTTTTTGCTGTATGTTTTACTGGTTTTCATGTGTTAAACCTATATTCAACATACATTGATGTGCTTGTAATCTATATGAGTTTAACATCATAAAGCAAACAATCAAATTTAGATCCATTAAAAAAGAACTAGAAATATCGGGTTTCTGCAAGAATTGTAACATCCAAGGAGACAACAAATTTTTACACTTATCTGGAACTGAGATGTTATAGGAATTAAATCATAAAAAACTGAGAAACTTGACCATGAACTTGATGATAGAAGCTAGTTTCTTTTCCTTACGATGCACATTAACATTATCATGCTTTATTAGATACGAGCTGGGATGATCTGGAGGTCCCAAAGTTTCAGTATGGATCTAATTATTCTAGTTCTGGAATTGACCTATTCTGTCTTCTCCACCTGCCCCCATTTAGTATGGAGAATAAAAAGTATCAGGGTGCCTAGTTTGACTTACTGATTGTCTTTTTCAATAGCATGAGGGATTCTTGGCCCGGTGTTGCTGGGAAGGGAAACACCTCTTATGTGAAGGAGTTGATTCTATAATTTTATACACTCCCAAGTTCTTGGAGAATCAATCAACTCTTGAATTTGTAGAGAAAACAGTCTGGCAAGAAGGCTATCCTGTTGAAAATGTATCCTTTTCTATTTTTAAATTCTAAGAGCCAAATATGCTGGTGAGTTGAATAGTAAATTTAATTATTATGGTGTTTCTTCAGGCTGGGGATGCTGCCTTACCTCCATGGGCCAAAGGTAGCCCTCGAGAGTTCATCAGTAAGCATTGGGAAGCTTGTGAACCAGACTTTCTCAGAAAATTTGCATCACTGGATAGACCTTATTTTTGGATACAAGCAAAGAGTGAAGAAAGGTTTCTTGTTTTGATGTATATACTTGCCCCTTCGTGATTATTTGGATGTCCAAATTTCTTAATTAGATTATTAGAGGTTAAATTTTTTACTTTTTCTTTCATTTTTATGGTCAAAGGTTTAGCCCTACAATCCAATATCACTGTCTATAATTGTATACACTTTTCAAGCATATATTTATATGGAAATGTATGACCTGGTTTGTCGTTGAACATGGTCATTATACACTCCAGTAATAAATGATGTCTTTATACCTCGTATAACTATGAAACATAGGTTACAAACAATGCTTTTATGTCTACCACTGCACAACCTTCTGTATAATTCGTATTTGTATCCTTTCACTTGATTGTCTCGCTTGCAATGTCTCACTTGAATGGCATAATTTCTAGCATTTAATTTTGTGGCATTGCAACTTGATTTGACAACCATAATTTTGTAGTGATCACCAATCTTTTGTTACTTGTAGATACATTGAAATCCTTGGCAGAATCTTCATGCAGAACACATGCAAATTTACATGGAGGTAATCAAATTCAGTACGAGCTAATGCTATATTATTTGTAACAGTATATACACTTTATCAGAAGAAGTTACCATTAAGTTTAGCAACTCGTAACACACTTCATCTTGATTACTTGAGTTCTACTTGCTCAATATTCAAATATCGATTTTATATTTAGATATTCCATTTCTTACACTTAGTATATTAATAATTTTAAGTATGAAAAACAATATTTAAGATATTAATAATTCCTTGATGATCTAAGAATACAGGATATTACCATCTTATCCCTATTAATATAATCTACAACTAGGATGATGATCACCCACTTAAACACTAATAATGTATTAAGGTAGTTTGGACACTTAATTTGGACCAATTAAGATAAAAGCTTATTAAGAGACTATAAGTATGATAAATCCTTCATTAATTACACACTTATTCTTAATTCTCAATCCTAAAAATTGAGCATAAAAGTATCTTATGCATACCCGCCCAAGGAACAAAAGTTAGAAGAACAAATTTAGGACAAAGGAACATATTCTACTACATTCTACATATAAATAAGAAAATATTGTCCTTGTAAAATCATCCCCACCTTTGTAAAAACAAGTGTAAGCTAGGATTGAATAGATTGAAAATCAATCTATGCTGTAAAAAAACATTAAATACTCCAGAATATACATGTGGTCAAAAATTTTGTATGGCAGAAACCGCTCAAAAACAGTTATCCATTTTTGTGTCACTATTTCTATTTCAATGGTAAAATGGAATATATAAAAAGTGCAGAAAAAAACAACACTGAAACGATAGAAGTCATCCTTAGGAAATAAGTAATTTTCATCTCACTAACAGAAAAAGGCGTAAAAACACTGTAGGAGTAATTTGGACTTCCACGTTTCAAAAGAAGTTTAAGCCTAACACTTCACCTACCTCATTAATATCTAAGATTGTTCCATTCGCAATACTAAATTAACACAGAGCACGAAAGAAAATTAAGTAACAAAGTAGATATAGGTGGACAGACCCGTTTATAAAGAAATTTCTTCATAATCAAGTGTATTAATATATTTTGACTGTTTTAAGAAAAATAACGAATTCAAATTCTCTGTCTGATTTTTGGTACTGTATTTATGTTGTATTTTCAAAATATATTAATTTTGTAACATATTTTAAAATAACAAAAATAGAATAAATTAATGTATTTTGAAAATTGAACATAGGAACAATACAAAAACATAGTAGAAAATCTAAATTAAAAAATAACTAATGAAACTAAATAGTTAATCAATTATTTACACAAAAAAACTTCATAAAATCTTAAAATTAAAGTATTATATACATATTATTCCTCTTGCTTCTTTTAAGAATATTCTTATTGGTAGAGCATGCCGTAATTCATAATATATGTCCTGAAAAGTCATTGCAGAACTAATTTCCACCAAATTCAACATTTTCTATATAGTTATCTGAAAGAGGAAAATAATATAAACGAAAGTCAATGCATCTTAGTGTGTATGCTCATTGCCAATGAAACAAATCGTCAATGAAGTTCAAGAAAAGAGATTATTAACAGATTTTTGTGATCTGGAGTCCAAATGTTAGAAGAAGCACTAGGTGGGGCAATGATGGCGAGATTCAACAAGTTTGAATGTCTCATTTTTTAATGTTAAACCTCCAACTAGTTGGCCTTCAGCACCACCTATACCTACCCCATTCTCAAGGGTAGGGCTGGGCATAGTGTACTTAAAAATTCTAAACTATAGTTTATTTGTACTCTTTTATACTTAAAAAAACTTAAACTATTTTTACTAAAACCTAGTTAACTGTTTAATAATTCAGTTTAAATATATTGAACTTATTTTATTTTTAATATAGTTAACTGTGGTTTAGGTTTCATATTTGTGATCGAAATTTTCTCCCTGCCTCATTACATTCCTTTCTCAGTATCGTCAAAGGCTCCCTACTGTTACGGTTGAAGGCTTGCCGCCGTGGAAGGTTCGCCACCGTGGAAGGCTCGCCGTCGTTGAAGGCTCGTCGCTGTCAAAGGCTTTGCCGCACTCTGCTGTCGTCGAACTGTAGGCTCTACCACCATCGTCGAAGGTTCTGAGAACATTTCTCCTTTAGCGAGAAGCAAAGGCATATCACTCTGCAACCCAAAGGTATGAATGTTTTTCCTTCAATTTCAAAAGGGATAAATAAAATTGGAAAGCATTGCACATGAGGGTGTATTCATCTGGATGAACCCAGTGGGGGTAACAATTGATTTTCTTTTGGATTTTGTGGGAGTTTTAATAAGATTTGATTTTATTTGCTGTTTTTGGACAAGGGTAGATTCTCTAACCTATAGAGTTCTAGATTGATTGATAAAGAGAGAGAGGTCAATGACTTGTGTTGTGTTGTGTTTATCTTCTTCTTTGTTAATTTTAGGTTTCTTTCAAAATTATGTATGTTTTAGCGTTGTATGTTGTTCAAAGCTTAAACTTTTTTATGAGGAATTTGAAGGAAACTAATGAAAGATTGTTGCTTTGGAAGGGTGTTATATGATCTTTTTGCTTTTTGTCCATTGGGTACATTGGTTAACTCTTTTTTATGTTAACTCTGCGTTTAGACAGGCTTTCAGGGGTGACATTGGATAATTAGTTTGTTTTGATTGAAGCAGGATAGAGTTTAGGAGAAATCTGTGTGGATTTTGGGGAATCATTAAGTGGTTGTATGCTTTGGTTTGTATTTGCTGGCCTTAGATTTTATTCCAAATGCGGTAGTAATGTTGCTAATGTTCATAACCAGATGTAAATGTGTAAATGGTGATGTGTAATTAATTGGAACAAAGATTAAAGAAAACACTAATAAGATAGTAAGGATGGGTTGGAAGAAGTCAACTAATATGAGTGCTTATTCTGATTTCTACATTAAGCATTCAATTCTTGCAGGGTAGTAAACATTAAACAGTGCAAGAGATGACCATAGAAAACATTCCATGGGCATACCCAACACTAACTTGAGAAGAAAGATTTAGTTATCATCAGAGAAACGAAAGGTTCATGGTTCGTGTTAGGATATTTATCCTATTTTATCATTATTATAGTGTGTCAAGAGTTACCCTATTTATCATGATTATATTGTGTCTAGGATTACTCTATTTATCATGATTATATTGTGTCTAGGGTTACCATATTTATCATGNTTAATAATTTTAAGTATGAAAAACAATATTTAAGATATTAATAATTCCTTGATGATCTAAGAATACAGGATATTACCATCTTATCCCTATTAATATAATCTACAACTAGGATGATGATCACCCACTTAAACACTAATAATGTATTAAGGTAGTTTGGACACTTAATTTGGACCAATTAAGATAAAAGCTTATTAAGAGACTATAAGTATGATAAATCCTTCATTAATTACACACTTATTCTTAATTCTCAATCCTAAAAATTGAGCATAAAAGTATCTTATGCATACCCGCCCAAGGAACAAAAGTTAGAAGAACAAATTTAGGACAAAGGAACATATTCTACTACATTCTACATATAAATAAGAAAATATTGTCCTTGTAAAATCATCCCCACCTTTGTAAAAACAAGTGTAAGCTAGGATTGAATAGATTGAAAATCAATCTATGCTGTAAAAAAACATTAAATACTCCAGAATATACATGTGGTCAAAAATTTTGTATGGCAGAAACCGCTCAAAAACAGTTATCCATTTTTGTGTCACTATTTCTATTTCAATGGTAAAATGGAATATATAAAAAGTGCAGAAAAAAACAACACTGAAACGATAGAAGTCATCCTTAGGAAATAAGTAATTTTCATCTCACTAACAGAAAAAGGCGTAAAAACACTGTAGGAGTAATTTGGACTTCCACGTTTCAAAAGAAGTTTAAGCCTAACACTTCACCTACCTCATTAATATCTAAGATTGTTCCATTCGCAATACTAAATTAACACAGAGCACGAAAGAAAATTAAGTAACAAAGTAGATATAGGTGGACAGACCCGTTTATAAAGAAATTTCTTCATAATCAAGTGTATTAATATATTTTGACTGTTTTAAGAAAAATAACGAATTCAAATTCTCTGTCTGATTTTTGGTACTGTATTTATGTTGTATTTTCAAAATATATTAATTTTGTAACATATTTTAAAATAACAAAAATAGAATAAATTAATGTATTTTGAAAATTGAACATAGGAACAATACAAAAACATAGTAGAAAATCTAAATTAAAAAATAACTAATGAAACTAAATAGTTAATCAATTATTTACACAAAAAAACTTCATAAAATCTTAAAATTAAAGTATTATATACATATTATTCCTCTTGCTTCTTTTAAGAATATTCTTATTGGTAGAGCATGCCGTAATTCATAATATATGTCCTGAAAAGTCATTGCAGAACTAATTTCCACCAAATTCAACATTTTCTATATAGTTATCTGAAAGAGGAAAATAATATAAACGAAAGTCAATGCATCTTAGTGTGTATGCTCATTGCCAATGAAACAAATCGTCAATGAAGTTCAAGAAAAGAGATTATTAACAGATTTTTGTGATCTGGAGTCCAAATGTTAGAAGAAGCACTAGGTGGGGCAATGATGGCGAGATTCAACAAGTTTGAATGTCTCATTTTTTAATGTTAAACCTCCAACTAGTTGGCCTTCAGCACCACCTATACCTACCCCATTCTCAAGGGTAGGGCTGGGCATAGTGTACTTAAAAATTCTAAACTATAGTTTATTTGTACTCTTTTATACTTAAAAAAACTTAAACTATTTTTACTAAAACCTAGTTAACTGTTTAATAATTCAGTTTAAATATATTGAACTTATTTTATTTTTAATATAGTTAACTGTGGTTTAGGTTTCATATTTGTGATCGAAATTTTCTCCCTGCCTCATTACATTCCTTTCTCAGTATCGTCAAAGGCTCCCTACTGTTACGGTTGAAGGCTTGCCGCCGTGGAAGGTTCGCCACCGTGGAAGGCTCGCCGTCGTTGAAGGCTCGTCGCTGTCAAAGGCTTTGCCGCACTCTGCTGTCGTCGAACTGTAGGCTCTACCACCATCGTCGAAGGTTCTGAGAACATTTCTCCTTTAGCGAGAAGCAAAGGCATATCACTCTGCAACCCAAAGGTATGAATGTTTTTCCTTCAATTTCAAAAGGGATAAATAAAATTGGAAAGCATTGCACATGAGGGTGTATTCATCTGGATGAACCCAGTGGGGGTAACAATTGATTTTCTTTTGGATTTTGTGGGAGTTTTAATAAGATTTGATTTTATTTGCTGTTTTTGGACAAGGGTAGATTCTCTAACCTATAGAGTTCTAGATTGATTGATAAAGAGAGAGAGGTCAATGACTTGTGTTGTGTTGTGTTTATCTTCTTCTTTGTTAATTTTAGGTTTCTTTCAAAATTATGTATGTTTTAGCGTTGTATGTTGTTCAAAGCTTAAACTTTTTTATGAGGAATTTGAAGGAAACTAATGAAAGATTGTTGCTTTGGAAGGGTGTTATATGATCTTTTTGCTTTTTGTCCATTGGGTACATTGGTTAACTCTTTTTTATGTTAACTCTGCGTTTAGACAGGCTTTCAGGGGTGACATTGGATAATTAGTTTGTTTTGATTGAAGCAGGATAGAGTTTAGGAGAAATCTGTGTGGATTTTGGGGAATCATTAAGTGGTTGTATGCTTTGGTTTGTATTTGCTGGCCTTAGATTTTATTCCAAATGCGGTAGTAATGTTGCTAATGTTCATAACCAGATGTAAATGTGTAAATGGTGATGTGTAATTAATTGGAACAAAGATTAAAGAAAACACTAATAAGATAGTAAGGATGGGTTGGAAGAAGTCAACTAATATGAGTGCTTATTCTGATTTCTACATTAAGCATTCAATTCTTGCAGGGTAGTAAACATTAAACAGTGCAAGAGATGACCATAGAAAACATTCCATGGGCATACCCAACACTAACTTGAGAAGAAAGATTTAGTTATCATCAGAGAAACGAAAGGTTCATGGTTCGTGTTAGGATATTTATCCTATTTTATCATTATTATAGTGTGTCAAGAGTTACCCTATTTATCATGATTATATTGTGTCTAGGATTACTCTATTTATCATGATTATATTGTGTCTAGGGTTACCATATTTATCATGTACTTGTGTATCAATTTATTCTTATAAATAGAAGATTGTGAGAGGGATCAATTAAGCCCTCTAGAATTATTTTACAGTTTCAATCTTAAGTTGGTATCAGAGCGGGTCGATTCCGCTCTGGTTTCTGTCTCGTAATATATATCTGTCTGGCGCCACAGTTCTTCGTCGCCCGCCACCGTCCGCCGCTGCCCGTCGCTGGCCATCGTCGTCCGTTGTTGGCCACCGTCCGGCCACCGTCGTCGCCGGCCACCGTCTGGCCACCGTCGCCGCCGGCCACCGTCTGGCCACCGTTGTCCATCACTTTCACAGTTTCCTTCGTCTAAACCCTTAGGGTTTTCTTGTTCCTCCTCGGTAGTACTATTTGTCTTCTTCAGAAATGGCGTCTGGCAGTACTCTTTCCTTCTCTGGAAGTCCATCAATTACCTCCGAGAAGCTAAATGGAAAAAATTATCTATCATGGTCTGCTGCCGTTGAAATGTGGTTCCTTGGCCAAGGGCATTATGACCACCTTGAGCGAGATGAAAGCCATGTGCTTACTGAAAAAGTTGATCAGTGGAAACAAGCAGATTTCCAGTTGTGTGCCCTGTTATGGCAATCAGTGGAACCCAAACTTCTTGTATCTTTGAGGGCTTTCAAAACTTGTCACTCCTTTTGGAAGAAAGCCCAAAGCATTTATGCCAACGATATTCAACGTCTCTATGATACTACGAACAAGCTTGCATCTCTTAAAATGGCAGACCATGATATGGTGTCCTTCATGGCTGAAGCCCAATCTGTTGTCGAAGAACTTAGGATGTTTTTGGAAGTAGATCCATTAGAGAGGATATCAAAAAGAAACTAGGCAAATTTTACATGGTGTTGATCCTTCATGCCCTACATCCCGATTTTGATCATCTCAGAGATCAACTTCTAACTAGTCATGAGGTCCCCTCTATGGAAACATTGACCACTCGCCTTCTGCGTGTCTCGGTACCTCAAACTCAAGAAGCGCATGAACTAGTGGAACCATCTGTCATGGTTGCCACACGAGGAAGAGGAGGACGTGGCACTAGAGGAGGAGGTCGAGGACGTCCTCAATGCACATAGTGTAAAAGGATGGATCATACTCAAGAGAATTGCTACTCCTTACATGGTTTCCCTTCCAAAACCGTCAATATTTCGAAGACTGAAACTTCCACTTCGAAGACTGAAACTTCCACTTCTATGTTTTCTGAGGATGAATATCAAGAGTATTTAAGGTTTAAGTCTAACAGCTTGGCACAACCATCTCAATCTCCCAATACATCAACAACCTGCGTTTCTCAATATATGGAAGGTCAAAATTCATGGGTAATTGACTCAGGTGCTTCTGATCACATTCCTGGTAATACCTCTTTGTTCTCATCTATTTTCTTTCTAGAAAAACCTCATTTCATAACCCTTGAAAATGGATCTAAAACTTCTTCCAAAGGAACTTCCAAGCGTAATTGTTAAAATAATTAATTGTGGTGAACATAATGAGGGTGAGAATTCCTTTGACCTTTAGGCACAATACTAAGTTCTGCCCTTGACGTGAACTAATATTATTTGAACTATTAAATTCTTAATAATCTGTTTAAATTTTCAAGTACAACTATTAAAAATGCTGAAGCATAACATTATTTGTTCATTTGAATGTGATACATGCTGATTTATATTTGATCTGTTGATTTGAATCTTTACCTTTGTGGATGGAAAGAAGATAAATAAGTCAAAAAAGGGAAGACTTGGATCTACTGAAACCCATAGTCCTGAACTGCATAGGGGAAAGCACAAAAAAGGTCAAGACGCAGAACAAGAAGGTGTCGATTTTGATTTCGTATTTGGTTATGGTTTATAAATTCCACATTCTGATTATAAATGC